CATTGATTTACTCGAAAACTATTATAGATAGAGTGAATACAAATATGCGTATGAAAGCTGAATGTTGATTTTTTTTGATAAGCATGTTACTTGATTATGAATTTTCTGTTAATTAAATTTAATTAACTCGGCGACTAATAGCAAAATCTTAACCATTTGGCCCTACCCACGTGCCAGTGGTCACAGGTTCAAATCCTGGTCAAGCCAGGCCCTTTGTGAGCCCTCTCGGTATTTGCAGCAATAGGGCCATTGTTCATCACAAAAGGATAGTGAAATGATTTAGGTTCAGCATATGAACATTCAGACAAGTCGATGGACAATGACAGTGTTAAGGATAGCAGCAGATTCACAGTGAAAGGAAATAGTGGAATAGTGGATTTTTTTATTTGAAAGATTGTTTTTTTCTCTAAATTATTCAACATTATTTAACCAGAAATTTTAAATTTTCAAATTATGAACAATATATGAATATGAACCTATATTTATCCACTTTAAAAGATATTTTAAGTTAAACTTTGTCATTTACAAACTCTGAGAAAATAATTGGAATAAAACGTATTTTCCAAACTTTGCAATTACGTCAGATCGACAACGCAATATCCTGCAGCCAACAAAACGGTCGAGGATCACGAAAAATTTGCACCTGCTCCAAATATATATTTTTTTAAAAGTTACATAACTTTGCATAATTTCGTTATAATTTCGGCGAAATTCTTCAAATTTCATTCCGACTCGTTTCCGGTCGATCGCGCAATCCATCATCCTGCAAGCAAAATAAAATTTATTCGTTTTTTTTTTTTGCCATTATAAATGTATTCGGTTGCGCAAACGAAGAGCGTGTCCTTTTTATTCTTTCTTTCTTTCGATGAATATATAGATCGTCCCGCCCGTGTGCCGCAAAGAAATTGTTCAACTTTTACTTTTTACGCTCGTAACTCGACACACTGCTGCTGCACGATTCTCTGACCGTGACACACTTTTCGTATGTGTTCTGTGTGTATGACATAATTGAACGCACTTCGAATAAACGCGTATCGAAATCGAGAACGAAATTTCGTTTTTTTCTTTTACTTCTCCTTCTTCGATGCAATCATTGTCTTCAATTTCATTTTGAAAGAACAACGAGAAATTGATCGCTTTTTTCAATATAAATTTAGTTGCATTTATTTATATCAAATTTACTACTATTTCAGATAAAATTACATTTTATGCTCATCCGTTTTGAAAATGTATCGTATTTCATGTATACATTTTGGTTTCACTAATTTTTGTTTTTGTTTTAAATAAATCCAATTGGAAATAACAATATTAAATGAATGCAATAACAAAATGTATCGGTTTTTTGCAATTTGATGCGACGATAAAATTGAAGTATTTAACAACCACAAAATATAGAATAAAAACGTATTTATTGCGTTGATAATGTTCGCATTTATTTTTCACATTTTAATGGGAACTTTTAGTTATAATCGGAGTTATTATATGGTTGTTAGCGATGAGAATCTCTGCGAAATTACGTGTTTATTACCAACAAAATTTGCATAAGGCTAATGTTATGTGCAGGAGCAACAAAATAATCGTTGTATTTTACTACCAAAGTTAACGGGTCTTGTTAGAAGACTCCCTTTTGAAAAGGTGATTTTCTTTTTCATTATTTCTAATTAATGGAACATGGAAAAGGTCCGAAAAGCTTCATTAAATTTAATATAAAGTGTGAGGAATTTCTTTTGTGTGTTTTGTTTGTCCGAATTGCAATTAAAATTGATTAAATTTACATTCGAACGGATACGGCAGCCGAAGTGGTAATAAGTTCATTTCGCAGCCCCGGAGCATCGTTTATCTCTGATTCATCTCCGCTTTGCAGCAGCAAATGTCGGTGCTTGGAATTGAAACGAATTTTCAATTGGAAACTTTCATTAAACATTCTTATAATTACAGCATTCTGTAAATTCTGAAAATTGTGTAAAATTGAGCACAAAAAATTGGATTGTAACGGGATTTAGCGTAAAGTTGCAATGAATTTTAATGCGTTGTGAAAATAATGGCGATTAAATGTGAAAACTGCAAATATTCTGAACTAAAATTTTGCGAAATAGTAGGAAAGTTAGCGAAATTGAATGCGCATTGTCTAAACTTCGGTGCGTATTCAATT